ATTTCACGGGGGTTTGGGCCATGAGAAAACATCCTGCCTAACCAACTGACCACAAGGCAAAGGCCCAACTAAACAAACATCCCTATCATGTCTTGCTGGACAAAGGTCCAAGGAACACCATGATGACATCCTGCTGGAACAAGGGCCAGAACAGCCGCATCATGGGAACGAATATCTCATCAATATCCTGCTGGGCAGCAAGCCATACTGCCCAGACCCCTCCCACCCATACCTACAAATTGCCCCAGCCTGTAAGCAGTAGTGGACTCTGGCATTAGGCTGGTCCCACACTTCTGTAGGTTTTATGCTGGATGTAAAGCCTGCATTTGCGTTGAGCTGCCTTCTGTGTCTTCCTTTAGCCCTTGCCTTCCCTTCCAAACCTAACAGCAGTAACACATGGTACAGGTTTGTAGCCTAGGAGCCGTAGGCCATACCACATAGCCTAGGTGTGCTGTGGGCTACACCACCCGGGTTTGTGTAAGTATACACTGTGATGTTAGTGCAAGGTGAAATCACCTAATGATACATTTCTCAAGCTCCTCCTCATATGGCAAGCAACGCATGACTGTATATGAAAGCTCTTAAATAGGGATTAAGTTTCTAAATCTCTAAAAGAAAAAAGTCATTATTTACTACATATGGAATTTTTTTTTTTTTTTTTTTTCCCGAGACGGAGTTTCGTCCTTGTTGTCCAAGCTGGAGTGCAATGGCTCACTGCAACTTCTGCCTCCCAGGTTCAAGCAATTCTTCTGCCTCAGCCTCCCAATTAGCTGTGATTACAGGCGCCTGCCACCAAGCCCAGCTAATTTTTTTTGTATTTTTTTTAGAAATGGGGTTTCACCATGTTAGCCAGGCTGGTCTCAAACTCCTGACCTCAGGTGATCTGCCCGCCTCAGTCTCCCAAAGTGCTGGGATTACAGGTGTGAGCCACCATGCCTGGCTGGAATGTTTTCTTAAAACATTCATTTCAGTGGGAACGTAATTTGGGGCTAGAGTCTTTTATTTAACTTTCACCCCAAAGTTGCAAAGTGTTTCGAGGTTTTTCCCTGTAAAATAATTATTTTAATTCAATTTAAATAAAACCCATCAAGGAAACTTTAACCTTTTAGAAGTCTAGCTTCCTGTGAAATGTGAGAGGAAGTCAACACTGATCTCAGAAATCTGATTACAACAATAGATCTACCCCTTAATGAGGCGAGTCTTGAATCTCTTCCACTTCAAACCATTAATCTACACTATGTGCCTATGCTAGGCACTGGAGTAAGATGAAGCATCTTCTTGGAGTTCACATGCTATTGATTATGCCAGACAATGAGCAATAAAATAGGTAAGAATGGCTGTGGGGGAAGTCAGCTGGGTTCTAGTTACAGTCGTATTTCAGGAAATTATTTAATATGCTGACTTTAACAACCTAAGCCTCTTGTCCATGTGTGCACACAGGGTAGACCTCTGAAGAGTGGTGCTGTAATTTCTAGGGTAATGGCCGTGTTAAGTCAAGGCAGGATGACAGTTCAGCCTCATCCAAGAATAGTGCAAAGGGCTCTTCACTCGGATTACAGCCTTCTCTCCCAGACTGAATTGCTCACCCCACTGTGAACCCCCTACATTTGAGACAGGTCTCAGTTAATTTAGAGAGTTTATTTTGCCAAGGTTGAGGATGCACCCGTGACAACCTCAGGGAAGTCTTGACAAAATATGCCCAAGGTCATCAGGGCACAGCTTGGTTTTACACATTTAGGGAGACATCATGAGACATCAGTCAATATATGTAAGAAGTACATTGCTTCATCTGGAAAGGTGGGACAACTTGAAGCAAAGGCAGGAAGACTTAAGTGGGGAGGAAGCTTCCAGGTCACAGATGGCCGACACACAAACGGTTCCATTCTTTTGAGTTTCTGATCAGCCTTTGCAAAGGAGGCAATTCAGATAAGCATCTATCTCAGTGGGCAGAGGAGTGACTGAATCGAATGGGAGGCAGGGTGCCCTAAGCAGTTCCCAGCTTGATTTTTCCTTTGTGATTGTGGGGGCCACATATATTTTCCTTTCACATTTCCCCCCTTTTCTTTTTAAAAATCTGTTGGAGAAAGCATTTTACAAGAAAATAAGTCTCTGGTCTCAGGTTTCATTTGATCTCTCATGGCTAGGATGGTTTATTACTTGATAAGTAGCTCCCAAAAGTTCATTTTTAGCACATTGTGAAGTCTCATGTCCTGTGAAGAGAAAATAGTGGGGAGGAAGAGAGGAAAAACAACAACAAACAAAAGAACAATCCTGGAAAAATTGATATAGGCCACATTACTCTGAAGTCCATGGTTTAGTAGGCAGGGATGAAAGTGGTTTATGTATGTAAACAGGTTGCTGTTATTTTCTTCTGAAGTTTAAGTTGTCTGACTTCAGTTCACAGGATTTTAAGAAAGCACAGCTTAGTTTCCAGTGACTCCAAATTAGGAAAAATGGAAAAAAGAAGGAAAAAAATTGAAAACATTATTTTGGCGACTTGTAACCAAGACAAATTAAATTTGGTGCAAGCTGTAGAAAGTAATCCAAATTGAAAAAAAAAATAGGCAAGACTAGAATCTAACAACAGGTATACAATCATTTGGAAACAAAAGTTTTTCTCCAGTTTCCCATTTTACTAAAGACAAATCATGGTAGGATTCATTAGCTTATTATACTTGGTCTATATATTTGTATACAATGCAGCAAGAATAATTATTGTTGTTTTTTTTTTACATAGGCTTTTAAATTGCCTTTGACGGAACTTTGTTCCATAAGAGAAATCTAAGACTTTTTAAAGTCCAGCCCAGCCATGGATTGTGCCATCAAATACTCATGAGCTGGGTGAAATTTCCTCTCCTCTTGAGGTTCTAAGATAAACCTGGGGCTTCTGTGCCTGTCAGAAAGTGACATTCTTTACTTTCCACAGGTCAGAAACCCTGTTCAGGGACTGTGTACACAAAATATGAGGCTAGTTTTCCAGGTTTGATTCCTTAAAGGAAAGCATACCATTCCAGTCAAAGCCTTGGTAAACTAACCAATTTCTCCAATTGCATCCTGTTACAAGTGAAAACAGACTCTTAGTGCACTTATGCAAATAACTATATTGCCATAAGTTAAGAATACTCACAAGTAGTTTCCAATTCTGGAGAAATCAAGTAGAGAGAAACAAATATGCTCCAAATTTTGTTGATAAGAGTATACAAAATTGTTAAAAGCTTTCATTACCTCAGAAGAAGTTAAGACTCTGAAAAACAAAACAAGGGATCAGTAAACATATTAGAGTCAGAAAGATTGGTTAAATCTATGCAGCTAATTCCTGTTCTCTCATGTAGTTCATCAGTATCAACTCATGAACATTTTAGCTCTCCATGAGTCCTGAAAGTTTTCCCTCTATTCTAATGTCACAGTCTCCAAAGTTATCAGAAACCTGCATTCAAGAGCACCAGTTGGAGGCTGGGTGTGGTGGCTCATGCCTGTAATCCCAGCACTTTGGGAGGCTAAGGCGGGCAGATCATGAGGTCAGGAGATCAAGACCATCCTGGCTAATGCGGTAAAACCCCATCTCTACTAAAAATACAAAAAATTAGCTGGGCATAGTGGCAGGCGCCTGTAGTCCCAGCTACTCGGGAGGCTGAGGCAGGAGAATGGAGTGAACCCGGGAGGCAGAGTTTGCAGTGAGCCAAGATCGCACCACTGCACTCCAGCCTGGGCAACACAGCGAGACTCCATTTCAAAAAAAAAAAAAAAAAAAGCACCTGTTGGAGATTTATAGCTGATTATAAGACCACCTTCTAAAGAGGACCAAAACAAGATAACAATTGTCCATGGATGAAAAAAAAGTTTTAAGGTAGCCATAGTTAAAAGACACAATTGACAAGGAAATTTGTTATCTCTGTGGCACATAATAATTGTAATATAACAATTATGATTATTATTGATAATGTACACTAAGTTATATCAGAATTACAGGAGTTTCCCATAATTTTGGAACACATACCAATAACATATTTATACATATACAGCCCAAAGAAAACCCAACACCACTTCATATTTGACAATGCCTCCTGTATAATTTTTTATACCAAATAAGCCAAATTATGTCTTTTTGGGCTTTAGGGAAGCTAATATCTTAAAGGATTAATTAGGTTAGAAAAATATATAATTCATAATTTGATTTTAGAAAGTTTGTCAAATATAAAAGGTTTAAAACACCTGATATTACAAAATAGGATCACAGGTCATTGTAAAGTCATGTATTTAATTGAAGTGATAATTCAAGGATTAGAAACACACACACACACACACACACACACACACAAACTGGTCAGGTGCAGTGGCTCATGTTTGTAATTCTAGCACTTTGAGAGCCCGAGGCAGGTGGATCACCTGAGGTCAGGAGTTCGAGACCAGACTAGCCATCACGGTGAAACCCCATCTCTAGTAAAAATAAAAAAATTAGCTGGGTGTGGTGGCTGGTGCCAGTAATCCCAGCTACTCAGGACGCTGAGGCAGGAGAATCACTTGAACCCAGGAGACAAAGGTTGCAGTGAGCCAAGATTGTGCCATTGCACTCCAACCTGGGTGACAAGAGCGAAACTCGGTCTCAAAAAAAAAGCAAAAACTTTCATTCTTTGAGGAGACAACTTTCTAAACAAAAAAGCCCTAATAAAAATAGCGTGAAGCCAATTACATTTGTTTTCAAAATTTTACAATCTATACAATTTAATCTTGATTATAAAATATAACTTCCATAAGCCTTTTATAATCTTTATAACCTTTATAATAGAGTTGGCTAATGCTTCTAGAAAACCTTGTTAATCTGACACAGGGGTCCATATACTGATTTTGCATCAGTGTGCCTTTGACATTAATTAATTTACAAAGAAACTGAACTTATTTTGTCTTTGAAAATTGGCCCTTACAATCTTACATGCCCACCTCTTCTGCCTCAGGAACTGACTGAGATTTTGATGAGACTTTGATTCCATTCCTGGACACAGATTCAACTGGAGAGCTGCCCCTGGGGCCAGAGGAGTTCACTGCTGCATACCAGGATCTGAATGACAAGCTGACTCAGCAAGAAAGGCTCCCAGAGGTGGTTCCAATGCTAGACTGGGACCAGAACCAGGCCCTAGCTCAGCCTCTTCACCTCAAAAGTAAGGTTCAAACTGTAGATCGAGATCAGGCTGCAGATCATCAGGCATATGAAATACTTGTTCCACCTCTAGACAGTCAGAATTCAAAAGCAACCAAGTTTATTGTGTTGATGAAAAGAGTCAAACTCTGTAAAATATTTGAAGAGGTTTATTCTGAGCCAAATCTGAGTGATCAGGGTCTGTGACACAGCCCACAGGAGGTCCTAAGAACATGTGCCCAAGGTGGTTGGGATACAGTTTGGTTTTATATATTTTAGGAAGGCATGAGACATCAATCAAATACATTTAAGAAATACATTGGTTTGGTTCAGAAAGGTGGGACAACCCAAAGTGGGGGCTTCCAGGCTACAGGAAGGGTGCCTGGCTCTTAGCTGGTTCGCTCCTGGATCTGGAAAGAAAGGAAGGAAAACAAAGGGGGCAAGGGGATTCTCTATAGCATGTGGATTTTTCCCACAAGAGACTTTGCAGGGCAATTTCAAGGTATGGCAAGGAAATATATTTTGGGTTAAATATTTTTTCCTTGTTTCATAATGTTATGCCAGAGTCAGATTGAAAAGTAAGTCACGATCTATAGGGTCAAATAAAACCCATCTGATGGGAATTTATGGTTTGTAGGGCATGCCTCCCTTAGACCCCTTAGGTAGGAATTTGGGCAAGATAAAAACTCAGAGCTTAGTCCTCAATTGTTTTGCCCAAGAACCTGAAGAAAGATCTAGCTCAGCATTGGAGGCTTGCTAAGGTTGTTGGAACTCCACGCTGATTTGTATCAAAACCTCAGCATCAGAATCAAATTTTGCAGGCTGAGTATTTAGATTCAGGTACGGATATGAGTGACCATGGCTCGTGACACAGCCCTCGGGGGGTCCTGAGAACATGTGTCTGAAAGATTCTCCCTGGGGCCTGAAAGCCTGGGGAGATGAACAGCTCCTCCCTTCTCAGGCCCAGTCCCAAGGTGCAAGGCCACCTGTGCCAGCACCGTGTGCCAGCAAGATAGCAAAAGCAGGAAGGGGGCTTGCCAGAAAACATGTACCCCTGCAGATCGAGGAGGAGGCCACCCGGGTACCACGCAGCAGTTATATCAGACTGGGACACTTCTTGTTTATAGGAGACTATAAAACCCCAGCCCTGTCCTCACTTGGGGCTGTCGCCATTTTAGGCCTCAGCCAGCCTGCACCCAGGCACTCATTACCTTGTGTTGTTTGTTGATGCGCTCTCGGGGTTCAAACCAACACAAGAACCTTACAGTGCCCAAGGTGGTTGGGGTACAGTTTGGTTTTATGTATTTTAGAGAGGCATGAGGCATCAATCGAATACATTTAAGAAATACAATGGTTTGGTTCAGAAAGGCAGGACAACTCAAAGTGGGGGCTTCCAGGCTACAGGTAAATTTAAACATTTTCTGGTTGACAATTGGTTGAGTTTATCTGAAGACCTAGGATCAATGGAAAGGAATGTTCAGGTTAAGATAAAAGATTGTGGAGACAATGTTTTGTTGTGCAGAGGAGTCTCTCAGCAGACTTCAGGGGGAAAGCAGGTCATAAATATTTCTTATCAGACCTAAAAGGGTGTCTGGCTTTTAGTTTATTCTCTCCTGGATCTGGAAAAAAAGAAAGGAAAACAAAGGTGAAAGGGGATTGATTCTCCATAGAATGTGGATTTTTCCCACTTGAGACGTGGCAGGGCAATTTCAAGGTATGGCCAGGAAATATATTTTGGGCTAAATATTTTTTCCTTGTGTCAGAGTCAGATTGAAAAGTAAGTCATGATATATAGGGTCAAATAAAACCCATCTGGTGAGAATTTATGGTTTGTAGGGCATGAGTCCCTAGACCCTTTAGGTAGGAATTTGGGCAAGATAAAAAATCAGAGCTTAGTCATCAACTGTATCCGGGCAGCCTGCCTCCAGAACTCCAGTGAACTCAGATAAGCCTCAAGGGCCCCCTGAGCAAGTTGGACTTTCTTAATTCCATCTAGAGCCTGAGACTCAAAACCCAGAGACCCTTGAAGAGATCCAGTCCTCTTAGCTCCAGCAAGAAGCCCCAGCACAGCTTCCACAAGCTCCCTGAGGAGGTAGAACCTTCTTTAACCCAGCAGGAGGCCCCAGCTCTGCCTTCTCAGTCCCTTGAGGGAGTCCAGTCTTCTTCAACAGAACAGGAGTCCCCAGCACAGCAGTTAACTCCCTCTGAAGAGATTGTAGCTCAGCCATCAATACATCATGAGGTAAATGTCCCATCGAAAAGTTGGAATGAAGCTTAGCACTCACACTTGCCCAATGTCAAGCCAGGCACAGGCTGCCTCTCAGCCTCCAGAGCACCCCAAGGAAGTCAACTCTTCCTCAGCCCAATTAAAGGCCCCAGCTCAGACACCAGAGTTCCCTGAGGAGATGAAACTTCTGCAACTCAGCAAGGGACCCCAGCTGAGCCTCCAGGTCCTCCTGTAGAGGTTCAACCTTCTCCCAGTGAGCAGGAGCAGCCAGTTTGGCCTTCTGAGTTTCCTAGGGGAGTTGAACCTTCTCAGACCCAGCAGGAGGCTCTAGCTCAGCCTCCAGAGTCTATGGAGAATGCAGCTCAAACTCCACCGAATCTTAGGGTGACAGTTCAACCTCCAGGCGAGGATCAAGCTCATTATAACTTGCCCAACATTACAGTTAAACCTCAGATGTGGATGTTACTATAACTTCACAGCCTACCAAGGAGATTGAATCTTCTCCAGCCCAGCAGGAGGCCCCAACCCAGTCTCCAGAGGAGGTGGAACCTTCTGCAACACAAGAGGAGGTTCCAACTGAGCCTACATGTCCTCCTGTGGAGGCTGACCCTTCCCCCAGTGAGCAGGAACAGCTTAGCCCTCTGAGTCTTCTGGGGATGTTGAATATTCTCCAGCCAAGCAGAAGACCCCAGCTCAGCCTCCAGAACATCATGAACTCAGTTTCACCTCTAGGTCACCATCAAGCTCAGCATTCTGATTTGCCCAATGTCACTGTTAAGCCTCCAGATATGCAACTTACCATAGCACAGAGCCTACTGCAGAGGTGGGAACTTCTCTAGTCTATCAGGAGGGTACAGCTCAGCTCTCAGGGCCAGTTAATGATGTAGAACCTTACAGGGGCCCACCTCTGCCTCCAGAGTCATTGGAAGAGGCTAGGCCTTTATCAGTTCAACAGGAGACTTCAGTTCAGTCTCCAGAACCTATTAAGGATGAGAACCCCTCTGCAACCCAGCAGGAGGCTGCAGCTGAGCATCCACAGACCCCTGAGGTGGTTGAGTCTTCTCTAATCCAGCAGGAGGCCCCAACTCAGACTCCAGAGCTCTCTCAAGAAGTTGTAGCTCAACCTCCAGAGCATCATGAGGTAACAGTTTCTCCTCTAAGTCATGATCAAGTTCAGCCTCCAACATTGCACAATGTCACTGTTAAACCTGTGGATCACATGGTTACCATGACTTGAGATTTCACTAATCAGGTTGAAATTTTAACCCAACAGGGGGCCCCAGCTCAGCCTTTAATGTCCCCTGAGCAGTTTCAACGTTTGAAAGACCAGCAGCAGAGATTATAATTCAGCAGCTAAATACCCTTGAAAATGATGAACTTCCTCCAGTCCATCAAGAGCCCACAACTCAGCCTCCAACTGAGCTCTCCTCAGACTTTGAAGGTTCATTGAAAGGTGGGATGATATTTTCACCTCTAGATCTTTCTTCAACATTCAAAAGTAATTCAACTTTGCCTAATACCACAGTTAAAAATGTGAATATGGAGCTTCCCATACCTTCAGCAGTCACTGGAGGTTGAAACTTCTCCAGTCCAGCAGGACAACCCCCCTATTCCCACTGAGCAGGCTGACTTTTCTCTAGCCCAGCCTGATCTCCCTTCCCCATCTCTGCATTCTCCTGAAAAGATTGAACCTCCAGTCCAGTAAGAGGCCACAGCTCAGACTCCAGGTCGCCCTAAGAAGGTAGAACCTTCTCCAGTACAGCAAGAGTTCCAAGCTGAGTCACCAGAGCCCCCTAAGGAGGTTGAACCATCTGCAACCCAGTAGGAAGCCTCAGATCATCCTCCAAAGTCCACTGAAGAGGTCAGTCCTCCACCACAGCAGGAGATACCAGCTCAGCCATCAGAGCCACCTGAGAAGGTCGAACCATCTCCAGTCCTACAGCAACCCCCAACTCAGCTTTTAGAGCCAGCTGAAGAGGTAGAATCCTCTCCAGCCTAGCAGGCAGGCCCTGCTCAGTCTTCAGAGCCCCCTATGGTGATAGAAACCTCTCTGACCCAGCAGATGGTCCCATCTTTGCCTCCAGAGTTCCCTCAGGAGTTGGACCATATCTAACTCAGCAGAAGGCTCCAGCTCAGATTCCAGAGCCCCCTATGGAGGCAGAACCTTCTCCAACCCTGCAGGAGGCCACAGTTCAGACTCCAGAGTCCCCTAAGGACATAGAACTTTCAAGCCAGCAGATGGTACCAGCTCAGCTTCCACAGCCACCTAAGGAGGTTGCTGCTCAACCTCCAGCTCACTACGAGGTGACTGTTCCAACACAAGGTCAGGATCAAGCTCAGCACTCAATATTGCCCAGTGTCACAGTTCAACCTTTGGATCTGGGGCTTACCATCAATCCAGAATTCCTGACAGAGGTTGAACTTTCTCCAACCATGCAGGAGACCCCAACTCAGCCTCCTAAGAAAGTTGTACCCCAACTTCCAATATATCAAGAGGTAGCAGTTGCGACACTAGGTCAGGATCAAGCTCAGCATTCAGTGTCACCCAGCATTACAGTTCAACCTTTGCACCTGGGACTTACCATAACTCCAGAACCCAGTACAGAGGTTGAACATCCTACACCCCTGAAGAAGACTATAGTTCCTCCAAACTACCCTAAGGTGACATTTCCACATCCAGACCATGTTCAGACTCAGTATTCAAACCTGACTCAAGCCACAGTTCAACCTTTTGACCGGGGGTTTACCATCACTCCAGAATCCACTACAGAGATTGAACCTTCTACAGCTCTGACGACTACATTTTCTCCTCCAAAACATCCTGAGGTGACACTTCCACCTTCAGACAAGGGTCAGGCTCAGCATTCAAACCTGACTCAACTCACAGTTCAACCTTTGGATCTGGGGCTTACCATCACTCCTGAATCCACTACAAAGGTTGAAACTTCTACAGCCCTGACGATTACAGCTTCTCCTCCAAAACACCCTGAGGTGACATTTCCGTCTCCAGACAAAGGTCAGGCTCAGCATTCAAGCCTGACTCAAGTCACAGTTCAACCCCTGGACCTGGAGCTTACCATAACTACAGAACCTACTAGAGGTTAAACCGTCTCCAACCATGGAGGAGACCTCAACTCAGCCTCTCAGACCTGGGGCTCGCTACAGAGATTGGACATTCTACAGCCCTGGAGAAGACTACAGCCCCTCATCCAGACCAAGTTCTAACTCAGCATCAAAACCTGATTGAAGTCACAGGTCTACCTGCTGAACTAGAACCTACTCAGCATTCATGGGTGCAGGCTGAAAGTTATGCTCAAAATAAGGCTTTAACTGCACAAGAGGGAACTGACTCAACAGCTCAAGTTTGAGGATTCTACAGCAACTCTTTTCCACAAAACAAATGATATGATTTTTTAAAATTAATTTTTGTATATATATATATATTAGTTTTTTTGTAAAGATGGGGGTCTCGCTTTGTTGTCCAGGCTGATCTTGAACTCCTGAGGCTCAAGTGATCTGTCTGCCTTGGCCTCTTGAAGTGGTGGGATTACTGGCACGAGCCACCACGCCTGGCTCAAGCGCCTCTAGATTCACAGTAGACACTGCACTAGCTGATCCTTCCCATTTCTGGTTCAGGTCCTTCATTTCATACGTTAAGGTGTGCTGACTCCCAGTCCATGCCTTTTTGATATCTTTATGGGAGTAGAATGTGGCAAGATTTTTATTAGCCTCAAAGACTCTCAAAGTTTAAGAAGTATTGCCCTAAATGTTTTTTTTTAAATATCCCTTATTAGAAGAGGAAACCCCACTATTTTTGTAGAAGCCTTTTGCTGTAGAACAATGGGATGGAATAAAGGTAGCTCACAAAATAAGGGAATATTTCTAATCTTGTTTTTTCTCTCCAAATTCTTGTATACAGGTCCAGACAGATAGGCATTGTTTCCTTTCTATTAACTGAGGAGACAGGATGACAGGACTGGGGCATGTCATCACTGTCCTAAATGTACTGAAATCTTAACAACTTTAGCTGAAAAAAAGGCCAAAGCAGGCTGTGAAAATATATTTAAATGACAAACTTCAAAATGATCTATGCTAGAATCCCAAGGCAGGCAGGGAAAACTGATTCCTTGGAGGAAGGTAGTCAAAGAAATAAGCAAAGTGACCTAGACCCTCATCCAATTATGTGTGATGTACTTGGGGAGGGAGTAACCCCTTTCCTTTATTCATCTACGTATGTCCATGAGCCATGAGAACACACCTCTCCACATGAAGTTCCTCAATACAAGACCACTGACTGCATCACGTAAACCCTCTTACAGGGGCAAAGTCTAGAGAATCTGAAATGGTGAGCCTATATCTTAATTAAAGCCCTGAGAATAACCTTGAAGAAGACTGCCTAGTAATGAGGAACAATGGAAGAAGCAAGGAGCCTGGAATCAGGCAGACCTGGGTTTGAATTCTGGCTCTGTCAGTTTCTGGTGAAGTGACTTGAATAATGAACATGACCCTTTCTGGGTAGCATTTACAGCACAAGGGCATTTGGGAAATAAATGAAAGGCAATGTATATAGCACCTAGCAGGGGGCTGGACACAGTGCCGGTGCTCAGCCATCATGATGTCACATGTGCACTGGCCAGCGAGCATAAACCTTTGGGATGTCCAGAGGTGGTAAAGCCAGGAGTTCCAGAAGTGTGGGACTCTCAGAAGGAAATGGAGCTCTCTTCTCTAAAGGTCCTATTCAAGTTAGAAAGTAAGATACAATGCACACAAAGCCAAATTGTCATCATTCAGCTCCTATTACAGGGGAATGAAGAGCTTCATAGAAAATTACTTGCAAAGCTTGTAAGTGGTTTTGCCACTTATTAGCCATGTGAACCCAAGCAAATTACCCAGCATCTCTGAGTTTCAACTTCCTCATCTACAAAATAGGAATAATAGTATCCACATCACAAGAGTTATTGGAAAAATGAAAATGAGATCTCACAGGAGGTAACATGTATTGAGCATTTACCATAGGCCAAGCACTATTCTAAGAACTTTGGACATGTTATCCTGTTGGAGGCCACACAAATGTTTCTTATGATTAGGCATAATTGAAGTCTGTCAGTAACAACATGAACCTGTGATCAATTAAGCAGCTGACCAATCATTACCTCCTCCTCCTTGATCTTGTTATCCAATAAATACAAAGGGCTGTAGAAGCTCAGGCGCTGCCTTTGCTCACTAGAAGCAGGGAGCTCTCTTCTTCCCCATGCTAGCCTTTCCTTAAAACAGTTTATTTTGTCTTAAGTTTTCATTTCTACGTTCATCCCTTCGTTCAGTCTTGCAATGACAGTCTCAGGCAGTAAGAGTAAGTGCTGTAATGATGATCTCAAGCACTTAACAGTAGTAACTGCTATAATGATGGTCTCAAGCAGTAACAGTAGTAACTTCTGTAATGACGGTCTCAAGTAGTAGCAGTGGCCGCTGGCCACAAGTGGCACCCAAACAGGGATATCAGGGAAAAAAAGAGACCTGAAGAGACCCAAAGGGACCTGAAGAAGCCTGCAAGGATAAATAGAGATAGAGACAAATAGAGATAGGTAGAGATGAGTAGGTAGAGATGAGATGAGAAGGGAGAGATGAGTAGAAAAAGAAAGGACTTGCAGGAACTTGCAGAAACTAACAGGTACCATAGTAACAGATAGGGATAAAGACTAGCAAACACTAGCAATATAAGGTCAGTGCCCTAAAGAGGTACAAAAGTAGAGACTAGTAGAGACTAGCAATGACTAGCAGAGATTCTCAGGGACAGATAGGGTCCTATAGGGACTTGAAAGAGGACGGTCTGCTGGAGGAAAAAAAAAAAAAAACCCTAAAGCCGAGAGGAAAAAAAACCTAAAAACCAACCAGAACAAGAAGTCTGCCAGCAGCAACATAAGATCAGTGCTCTAAAAAGGTACTGGTCAGTGCCCTAGAGGTACAAAGAATGGGAAATTTTTGAATCAGGGTAACATGAGGAAGAATTTGGTTATTTTCTCTTTTTTGTTTGGAGTTTGGTATGTACCATCTTTGTTATTTCAGGGTCTGAGATAATTTTTGCCCCACCTACAGCACCTATCAAAAGTGGTGAATAGGAGAGGGAGGATGGAAATTGACTTGTACCATCTTCTTTTGTGGCTACAGAAAGGCTAACTTTAGCTTTGGCTTTCACGGATTGTAAACATGTGCTGGCACCTGTGAGCTGTGCAGACGACTTGGGAGGTTTTCTCCGAACTTGTCAAGATGTGGGAACTGAGCTTCATTGCTCTGCAATATTGACTCAGGTAATGGCTAATTTGGTAGCTGACAGAGCTAAAGGAAGCCAAGGGTCAAGCCCTAAAGTGGGAAAGTGTTATAAGTGTAGAAAAATTGAACCTTTCAAAAAAGAACACCATCAGACCTCTAGGCAGAAGGGATTTTATAATGCAGCTTCCCACCCCACAACAGAAAAAATGCCAGGACTTTGCCCTCATTGCAACAAAGGAGATCATTTGGGCTAATCAATGCCACTCAAAATTTCATCAAAACAGCACCCCCATCAGGAAGCAAAAAGGGGGCCTGGACCTGGGCACCTCAAACTATGAGGGCATTCCCTGTCCAGGCCACAACTCCGTTTCAGGGGTGGGTTTCTGGAGGCATATTGACCCCCTCTCCTCAGGAACACCTGGAAACACAGCATTAGATCTCCCAGCTAGAGAACAAATTTCATTAATTGAAAGAAACAAACTCACTAAGATTCCCATTGGTATTTGGGGACCTCTGCCAACAAGATACATGGGATTGATTTTGGTAAAAGCTGTCTTAACTTACAGGCCCAGGAGTTGTTGATTCTGATTGTGAAGGAGAGATTCAGGTAGTGGTAATGTCACAAGATCTTTGGGTTTTTGAGCTGGGAGAATCTGTTGCTCAACTGTTGCTTATTCCCTGTATATTGTACCCTTCTCTACGTAAGAAGAAGAGAGGAGGTCAGGGATTTGGAAGTGCAACTAGGAGAGATATTTAGCTATCACAACCCATAGCATCTAGTGGTCCCACCTGTACAGTGCAAATTGAAGGTTTAAGGATTGCTTTTTGCTATACTGTTGTACAAAAAGGATAAGCCTCAATTTTCTTTCTCTGTGCCTTCTGTTAATCAGAAAGAGCCTGGTTCTCATTATCAGTGGAACGTTTTACCCTGCAGTAATTAACCAAAGAGGCAGAAGCTGAGTTGCAGCTTGTAGAACAAATGCTTAGCAATGGCATGCCTCCTGGCTACAGCCACAAAAGTTTTCTCGCTTCTGTTTCGCTAGATTTACTGATGTGGTGTTGGGGGTATGCTTGTGTCTTTACAGAAGATGAGCAAACCATGTGGGTGCCCTCAAGGTGTCTTGGACCATGGAACAGGAGACTGGAGGGACCCATGGATCCCAACCATGGACCTGGTTCCCCAGTACAAGCCATGAGCCCATTGAATTTGAATGTGAAGACAGAACAAGAACCAACTGGAGTCACACTGACATCAACCCCCATAATATGGGGACAGATCAAGAAAACCACACAGGAAGCTCAGAAACTGCTGGAGCACCAGGGTTTCACCTTTTGCTGGAACTCAGAGGTACAATCAATGTTTAACGGACCAGTGCTTTCTGACTGAGCTCCTCTCTACCCTGAATACAAGAGACCCTAATAGCTAGGCAGGAATATCATCACCCCATTCAGCATGAAGAAGTTGCAGAAGATGGACCTTCGTCCCTCTGCAACCCTTAGGATTAAAGGTCCTCTTGTAAAAGGGAAGGGGGACATATGTAAGAAGCATTCAGACCAGAACAACTCCATTTTGAATAAGGGCTAAGAAAAATGAAGGTGGATCACCAACTGGTAATTAAGGCTCAGCCTGCAATTAACTTGCTCAATTAATTTAAAAACAAAAAGGGGGAGATGTTGGAGGCCACACAAATGTTTCTTATGATTAGGCATAATTGAAGCCTGTTAATAACAATATGAACCTGTGCTCAATTAAGCAGCTGACCAATCATTACCTCCTCCTCCTTGCTGTTGTTACCCAATAAATACAAAGGGCTACAGAACTTCAGGGGCTGCCTTTGCTCACTAGAAGCAGGGAACTCTCCTTCCCCATACTAGCCTTTCCTTGAAACAGTTTTTGTCTTAAGTAGCCTTTCCTTAATACAGTTTATTTTATCTTAAGTTTTCATTTCTACATTCCTCCCTTAGTTCAGTCTTGTAATGAGGGTCTCAGGCAGTAACAGTAACTGCTGTAATGATGGTCTTAAGCAGTAACAGTGGTAACTGCTGCAATGATGGTCTCAAGTAGTAGCAGTGGCAGTCGGCCACATTATCTCACTTGTAT